CAGCCATAACGTTTTGTATAATTTTACATAAATCTAGATAGAAATTTCTCCACACTACACCGAAACTTACAAAATTTTCATTCAATTTTATTTTAAAAAATTTTCATTGGAATCTAAAAAAATCTCTTGATTAAAAACTTCTAATTTATTCAAGTCATGCTCAAAGTCTACCTGACTCTGTTAACTGAAACAACACAAAAATGTTCCAAGCTAATTGAGGCTAAGGTCGAGTTAATTAAGTCTTCACAACTAATTTTGTTGTTCAAATACGGTTTTCAATATTTTTTCATCAAAACAACTCAAAACTAACACCTGATCTTCACACCTGATACTGAATTTTCACCCCTGATTTTGTTCAAATACGGTTTTTCATTTCCTTTCCATCAAAAACTACTCATATCTAATAAGAAACAGTCGGAACTTTTATGGCTTTGCCCTGCTATGCGAGCAGTCTTGATTTTATTCAGTCAATTTTCAATTTTTTATCAGATCTTTTTGACGAGTTATTAAAAGCATTTGAAAATTTTGTTGTCTCGCAACTAATTTGAGGTCAAAGTGTAGTAGGAGTGGGAATGTAGTGTTGGGTGTGAGGTAATTGGGGTTGTAAGAACGATAGCTAGGGAAGAAGGAATTCGTTCGGGTTCGAGGTTTGCAGAAAGTCACAAAAAGTAAATCAAACGGTGAAAATCTCAAAAAAAAAGAATTATTGCTTCAAATAGATTTTATGCAGGAAAACATTTTGAGTTATTTCTAAAACAAAATAGGTATGGAATAGGTTTATGATGGAAAGCAATGGATTTTTTTGTTTTCCCAAACAATTGATATTATGATCTTTAAAAACTTTACGTGTTGAAATCCATTATCTAGATCTCATTTTAATCAACGAAATATTCATATCATCAAATTTACCCAAAATCTCCGCGCGGGTTGTTAAATTATAAATCGTTTTTTTCTAAAACTGCAATGATACTTTCGCTTACTGCGCAGTATTATCAAAACCCGAGTTTTATTGATTTGTTCTGTATGAGAACAAAACAGAATATGCCGTTTCAATCTCGAGTTGTTACTCAACGCATATCCAGGGATTATCTCTGCACATAACATTATGTTTGAACCAGTGGAATGTCAAATCTTCTCGCGGGTCTTCAAAATTGATAACTTTAGTGTCAATGTCAGGAATGCCTGTGCCTGGGTAATCCTTCCCTGCTATGATGTAGGGAGCACCATGTACTATATTCGGGTGGTGGTCTCTCCGCAGTGGCCCTGGACCAAATCCAACTATCATAATTACGTTCGCACACAACCATGGAAGGTGAATTGCCTAAACAAAACCTTTTGCAAGATAACCCACAGAAAAAGTTTTCAACAGGTTTATTAATTATTATGAATCAAAAGCGATTCAGATTGAAAAATCATAATGAAAAGTCAGAAAAAATTGTTAGCAAAAAACAGATACCAAAAAACCCATTACTTCAATCTGTAAATTTCAACAACAAGAAAAAATTTCAGACTTTTCGTTCTTGAAACGATCCATTTTTTCCACAAAAGAAAAATAACGCAAATAATAGACCGTTCATCTGAAACCAGCCACACTTTTCAGAAGATGAAGGTTACTTTCATTGAAGCTTACAACTCTATAGAAAAAAAGCAGGTGAAAAACCACTGGAATGACATTTTCAAGCAGACTTTTTTCACTCTTACATGAAACTTTCAAGACCACGAGAAACACAACAACAAAATCCTACATGACAAAACTTCGTACAATCAGATGATAATGTGACATCGCAATACCAAATGAAAACCCAAGGTTACCTACCCGACGCAATGAGAATTGAAATACCACTACCCTTTTATTTACAACAATGTGAAATCACCAAATCTAAGTTATAAATTTTGCACAAATTCTAATAACAGCAGAATTACTCCAGATGACGATGAATCCTAGTAGAAGATTGTTTAAACGCTGTCAGACTAACCTAGTGTTAAATAAAGGCCCAAAACCTACAAATACACCCCATCACCAAAATTGGATTCATTACCTCACAGCCTTGATACAAACTACACTTAAAAGTGCAGCTAAAAAAGGTTTTCAGTTCTACCAATAGAAATATAATCCGCCTGAAAACAATTCACACAAAGTTTTTCTAAAGGGTTTGACTCCGAAGAAACAAGCAGCATCAAATAGTTATATGCAGGAAAATTCGCATACTTTCAAACGAAATTATGAAACAACTAGCTGTAAAAAGTTCCAATGGAGAAAATCAAACTCTCTACATACACTAGACTATAAAAACACAAAAATGACATATAGTGTCTTCAGAATAATAGCAACAAAAAAGAGAGTATGCTATGCAACATCATTTTCAGAACTAGAAACAGTTCTCCGCAGTTTCGTAGACATATTGGAACAAGCAGAACTCACAGTGAAATTAGAAGAAGCAAAATTACTATACGTAAACAATATCCAACAAACAATTTAAGATATAAAAACATCCAAGACTCCGATAAAGATTTAGCAGAAAAAAATCACTCAAATTCTAAATAAAATTGATAGGAACCCGAAATTTAAGGGAAAACCCTCATTCAAATAATGGCGTGGATACGGACATAGCGTAGCCAATTGCAGACAAGAACAACAAGATAAATCGATTCGACCACCAAAATATAAATACCGAATAAATCTTTTCACCAATAGATGAAAATTGATCAAAATTTACCAAATACAAACGTTCAGAGCATTAATAGTTCAAGAAAACCACTCCCATCTAGCTATAGTCACAGCAGACTACAATCCCCATTTTCGCACAATTTTCGCGGACGATCTGCATATAGACGAAACACACAAAACTCTTCACAAAAAAGATGTTTTGATACCTGGGCTCAATTTAGAAAAAAAATCACCTGTGATCATTTTTTGTAAACTACGGGGCTTAAAAATTGCTACTTAGTTAATTTGGGATTAATATGGCATGATATAATAAGTGCTCATAACACGCTTAAGCAGCGGATTAATGCGTTGCAAACCAAAATGAGGAAAAAAAATATTTTTTTTTTCATAGAATAAGAGACGCTATATATTTTGTTTACCCTGTTCTTATATGTCATCTGGGTTGAAAAGTTGAAAAAAAACGAGAAAAAATCTTTTATTGTTATTCTGTTGTCTGTTTTCTAATAAAAAAAAATCTCATTTGTCACATTTTGAACTGATATAAGAGCAGTCTTGATTGTTTTATTAACGCGTTTTTTCAACAAAACATCCTGTCTCATTTCGTTTTGCTAATTCAATTCAATAATTCGTGAACTTGTCTTTTTTACTGTGCTACCATGTGCTATAAAAAAACTAGTTTTTTTACTCAATTTATCAGCCAGGTTAATATTTTTCAATACATTTTTGCAAAAATGATCAAACTATCATTTTGTGTTCCAAAACAAACCAAAAAACGAACATGTCTGGAGTTGAGAATCCAACCGAAACTTGAAACTCATTTACCTTCGGAAAAGTTAGCAAACGACCAAATACAGTTGTAAATTGTTGCTTGAGCGACAATTTTGACTTAAATATTATCTCTTTATCCAAAAGTTTGATATTATTCAAAAAATTGTGGCTTTTTAGTTAAGCTAGTTTGGTATTCATTGAAAACTTAGAGTAACAAGTAGGGGTGTGTAAAAAGTATAGTCCAAAATTTTTTCCCCGTTTTGATTTCAATTAACTCACGTGCTGCAACTGGGTTTTGTCATTGCCGATGAAAATTATTTATCCAAGAAAACAAAAAGCAGCTTTTTAAAAGTTTAAAACTTCTGCATATCGCAGTCCTAAACACGAAATTGAGATGATACCGATGCGGTAAACTAATGGCACTTTTCAATTTTGACACACATTTTTGTCGTCAGACTTTCTATTCTTAAGTCCATTTTTATGTCCTCATCATTTTGTGAGTTTTCCTTGTATTAAAAAACTTGCAGACACCCTGATTTGCCTTGATAACATTGAAATCAGTTTTATAACATTGGTAAAGTTGTCTGAAGTTTACAGCCATAACGTTTTGTATAATTTTACATAAATCTAGATAGAAATTTCTCCACACTACACCGAAACTTACAAAATTTTCATTCAATTTTATTTTAAAAAATTTTCATTGGAATCTAAAAAAATCTCTTGATTAAAAACTTCTAATTTATTCAAGTCATGCTCAAAGTCTACCTGACTCTGTTAACTGAAACAACACAAAAATGTTCCAAGCTAATTGAGGCTAAGGTCGAGTTAATTAAGTCTTCACAACTAATTTTGTTGTTCAAATACGGTTTTCAATATTTTTTCATCAAAACAACTCAAAACTAACACCTGATCTTCACACCTGATACTGAATTTTCACCCCTGATTTTGTTCAAATACGGTTTTTCATTTCCTTTCCATCAAAAACTACTCATATCTAATAAGAAACAGTCGGAACTTTTATGGCTTTGCCCTGCTATGCAAGCAGTCTTGATTTTATTCAGTCAATTTTCAATTTTTTATCAGATCTTTTTGACGAGTTATTAAAAGCATTTGAAAATTTTGTTGTCTCGCAACTAATTTGAGGTCAAAGTGTAGTAGGAGTGGGAATGTAGTGTTGGGTGTGAGGTAATTGGGGTTGTAAGAACGATAGCTAGGGAAGAAGGAATTCGTTCGGGTTCGAGGTTTGCAGAAAGTCACAAAAAGTAAATCAAACGGTGAAAATCTCAAAAAAAAAAGAATTATTGCTTCAAATAGATTTTATGCAGGAAAACATTTTGAGTTATTTCTAAAACAAAATAGGTATGGAATAGGTTTATGATGGAAAGCAATGGATTTTTTTGTTTTCCCAAACAATTGATATTATGATCTTTAAAAACTTTACGTGTTGAAATCCATTATCTAGATCTCATTTTAATCAACGAAATATTCATATCATCAAATTTACCCAAAATCTCCGCGCGGGTTGTTAAATTATAAATCGTTTTTTTCTAAAACTGCAATGATACTTTCGCTTACTGCGCAGTATTATCAAAACCCGAGTTTTATTGATTTGTTCTGTATGAGAACAAAACAGAATATGCCGTTTCAATCTCGAGTTGTTACTCAACGCATATCCAGGGATTATCTCTGCACATAACATTATGTTTGAACCAGTGGAATGTCAAATCTTCTCGCGGGTCTTCAAAATTGATAACTTTAGTGTCAATGTCAGGAATGCCTGTGCCTGGGTAATCCTTCCCTGCTATGATGTAGGGAGCACCATGTACTATATTCGGGTGGTGGTCTCTCCGCAGTGGCCCTGGACCAAATCCAACTATCATAATTACGTTCGCACACAACCATGGAAGGTGAATTGCCTAAACAAAACCTTTTGCAAGATAACCCACAGAAAAAGTTTTCAACAGGTTTATTAATTATTATGAATCAAAAGCGATTCAGATTGAAAAATCATAATGAAAAGTCAGAAAAAATTGTTAGCAACATAGCTTTCTCGCAAATCTCCAAAAATCTTGGAAAATTCTTCCAGGTCTGTAGTGGAGACTGCATGACGTATTTATATTATGTTATTACGTAATTGTTTAGTAATGCCGAGGTCATTGTCATAGTTAGCATGACCTTTAGATAGCGCCATTCGTATCATTAGATACAGCCAGCAGTTGGCTTTAAAGTAGAGCTATCGCGGCCTAGTTGTATTCTATCACACCCCATCGTAGGAACTCCCGGTACCGTAGGAAGATTCGGCCCAACTACTCCAATTAGAAATAATCGCAAAGAAGAAGCAGGCCATAGAAGATTTGATCTCCCCAGAAAATCTTTATCCTACGCTGTGAGAACCAGAGGAAAAGGATGCTAATGCGATTCGCAACGAACGGGAAGGCCGGAACAATGGGTCTAATGCTGCGTGACGAGACAAAAAAAACCGTCGGATCGAGGAGGAAAAACGTCTATTCAAAAGAACTACCCGGGGTGAAGCGGATAAGAGGTTGAAACTAAAATTTTTCCATCATCAAACACTGACAACGATATTTCTATCAAAAACATTAGAGACAGAAGACGGTAGACATAGACTTCACTGAAACGTGTAAGCTAGTGGTGGATACATTCTATGGAGAAATAAAAGTTACAAATCGGCGATTCGTTCTGTTTATTAGGAATTAAAGAGAAGCAGAAGGAATGGAGCAGTTCTTTGAAACGCTGAATCGTTTTGACGAGATGGAGGATGCCATTGAGCGAGACTTGGTTTTATTTAATATGAGAAACGTGCATATTCGCAAGAAGTTGTGTAGGGAAACACTTGCACCAGTGGACGTTTTGCACTTTGCAGTGGTCAGGAGAAAGGTGAAATTCTATACAAAAGATGGCTCCCAAAATGACTCAGAAAAAGTTTTAATGAAGGTTAGCAAGTTTTGTCGACAAAGGTTCAACAAGCTGGTTATGTTAAAAGAGAACCAATAAATGAAATCAAAGATCAACGTGGTGATAAAAAAGCATAACTATGGCAACTGGTTAAAACTTAACCAACAAGGTATGTGACCAGCTCGATACATTATTCGTAACAGTTGGGGGGAATGCGGATAATTTGGAAACCTTGCAAAAAAAACGAAGTGAACTAGCGATTTTACCCATTATGAAACGATTGTGACGCATAGATTTGATAACGATGACGTTGAAGAAGGATTCGTTGTTTTCGCAATCCGTACGGTGTGAGATAAGGCTGGAATTAAAAACTGGAGGTCGTTGGACGTCAAAAAAGAGAAAAGCCAAAAGAGCACGGATTTCCAAACAGATTGCGCTAGCCCACAATCTTTCGTCTCGCAAGGAAAAATATACGAACTGAAGATGAAGGATAGATTATTATCAAAACGACGTCATCAAAATCATTGGAAGAACCTTTGTTGATATCGAACCCGAAGGCTGGATCGCCCAAGATGCTGAACTATAAATCAGTGAGGGCGGTCAAGGTGACATAATTGGAAAATATATCTTACCACTGCTCGCCATTGAAGTGGAACAGAAGCGAGTGACGCGGGCATTAAGCGACCTTACTGGGACGGAGAGTACATCACAGATCCAATTTTCACCAGTACAACGTAAATACATCAAATGTATGTTGAGGGAGTACAAAAGTCTCATCGAACGAAAAGGTGTAACTAAAAATTGCGAAGTCAGAAGACATTTCAACGAACCGATGCGACCGATCCAGGATAAAGGAAAACGTGTACCGATCCACGTATTACCGATTCACAAAAGCTGATGAAACGATAGAAAAATTGTAGAAAGAAGGGCACATCGAAAAACTAGGCATTTGTACCGGGGGTTGCTTTATCTTACTAACAGTCGCTACAACTAAACGGGATGAAACGGTCAAAATGACCCCAAGTTCGAAACTCATAACAAAGCAAGAGAAATGAACTCGATGGCAATGTCGCATTCGCGATGAGCGGAATTTCTTCTGACCCAATTTGGTTCCATAAGCTCGACCTGAAATTCGCATACTCGCAAATGCGTCTAAGCGAAAAACTAGTTCAGACAACACAAATTCAGCATCGTCGGGGACATAACAGGTCCGTATTGTTTTAAAACGGGATTTTACGGATTGGGTGATTTGAATAAGGAATTTCAAAGCATTATGGGCTTAATGATGGGTCATTTACCGGGAGTGCATGTCTACTTGTACGACATTCTCATCGCGACGAGAAGTTCACAGCAACGCCTTTTCAAGTGTTGGATGAAAACAATGCCGCCGCAAATTAGAGTAAATGTACTTTTTTCACAAGAACATGAATATTTAGGTTTCAAATTTTCAAATGCGGGTACAGTTGAAGTTGAGAGGAAAATCGACTCGATTGTTAATAAGAAACAGTCCGGGAACTTAACCAATAGTCAGTTGATAATAGCGTTAATCCATCATTTTGTTCGGTTTATTTCTAATTCAGCTGCTAGCACAACAAACTTTAACGATCTCATGAGAAAACTTTCACGTTTAAAATGGGAAGAAACACATAGTAGGGCGTTTGCTAAACTTAAAAAATTTAATTGTTTTGTCCAAAACCAACATTTTGATGTAAATTGGAGTACGCGAGTGAAACGTGACTCATAGAAGCAAGGCCTGGCGGAGGCTCTTAAAAAATTATTTGCCCAGGAACATGTTGCTTGTTGATTTTTTTCTCGGGATCCGAACGGTACAGCTCCAAAATTATCGGAGTTGGACGATATATTTGTTGTAGCACAAATTAACGCGGTTTGTCGTCTATTTGAACCGTCGGCTAGCGCAACCAGAGATGAATTGAACCACCAAAAAAACCTCATAACCAGAACAAAACCAGAACGTTAATTTTGTAATCGGAAGGAACGTGCAGCGAAGAAACTAACTGACACTTTTCGGAAGTACTAATTGATCAGAATTTGCGTTGCAAATCACAAGCGAACTGAACACTGCCAAAATTGTGAGATTATCAACCCATGGGTCAACTCCTAGCTATGGACCATGAAATACCTTCAGTTAGGGTTAATGGCGACAATTTCCTTCACCAGCCATCGGCTGAAGCTATACCTCCGGTTAGGTTTCTGGCCTTTTTGTTCGATTTGCTGGAATTTTTTGACGCTGAGTTAATCTTAACTAAAGCGTACGAGTTTTTAAGTTGTGTCGTTGAAGCTATAGAAGCATATGATCTCGATAATAAGAACCTTGGCCCTTACTTTGGATAAACTAAATTTGGATAAGTTACATACCTCAAATGGCATATTTTCTTTGAAAAACGGCGATGCCCTGTCAGTTGAGACACAAATGACATTCGGTTGTGTTTAGATGATAGACGTTTTGACGATAGACGATATAAAAAAGCTAGATACGATGAAAGAACCAAACCAAAAAAAATCAAATGGGATTGCTCGACCCATTGCCCGCGGTGTGGGGCGAGAACAAGCATCTACTAACGTGTATCAATAGTTTCCGTCCGTTCAGATAATGACGAGAACGACTGCTAAAGTAATCCACGAATCTTTCAAGAACTATACTGCCTTACATGCCATACCGAGGGCTATTAGACCCGATCAGTGAACAGGATTCGTAGTAAAATCTATTGGCGAATTCTGCAATAGAAAAATTATTAAAGTATTTAGTGCTGCCTTAGGTTACGAACAAAAAGCTTTTTCCCGGTCAGTTTATGCAAGATTAGACTCCAGCAGACGATGATTCGAAGATGGAAGTCTACGACCGAACTGAGCATCTGTTTGCGAGAGACTCGTCCTAGGGGACTAGCCGAGAAATGAACAAAGCGCCAAGTCTCATGGCGCAATGAAAAGCTTACAAAATCTTTATAAAAAACCAGGACTGCCTAAATTCCAAAACTTATTGTGATTTTTAACGGAACAAATAGTTCGAGAAACCGAGCATACGGTAACTCTGGTTTCTGATTCTTAATAAAATTGACCTTTCGATAAGCTTGGCAAAAAGCCATCGGATGTTTGGGGACTAGTTAGTTCGGCCAAACCAGCAAAGCTAAAGGCATCAGGAAGCAGTACAGAGGACAAGGGTCTACGAAAGCTAAGCAGGAGGGGATGGATGGCGAGGAGGCAGATACACGAAGGTACGACTCAAAATCACATCATCATGGATAGCTCATCCGATGACACCAATAAGTCAAATGTGGTCTACAAGCCGAAGCCGATACGAGAACCAGAAGCGATCTCATACGCTACTGAGCTACCTAGTCAAGTGAATAGAGATTCACAATCTGAACCGCGACAAATTAAATAGTCGAGCTCAGAAAAAAACAGTATGTTGGGATGGACATTAACAAAACGCCAACTGCAGGACGAGATTCAACAAATAGCTCTATTGTGATATCATCTGCTGAAGACTTAGAAGAGATTTAAGACCTCGACTGCTACGGAAGTGCTACAGAGCTCATCTTACAGAAAATCTGAAGGACGGTGGAAGAAGTCGCCGAGAACACCGAAAGTAGTTAAGAATTTTTCAGTAGTCCGTCGACGGCCTAGGATTGGACAACGTGTGTCAGCAGTCAAGATGGTAACCGAAGAAGATCCCTAGCTCGAAGAAACGCAACGCAGAAGATATGTTTTTCTACCGCGAAATGTGTAGGTTTTTTTGTAGATACGCAGGATCGTCAAGCACACTAAAAGAATTTCTTCGGTTATGGATAGTGAAGGAAACACTACTGATAAATTTAGAGGTCAGGTGGTTTTTCATGGGCTAGAGGCTCGAATGCGGAATAGTCGCAAAAATCTATCACTGGGAAAATAGTACACACCGTGCAAGCGGAAGTACAAATAAAGAATGAGGCGATTGACAGAGCCGGCCAAAGTAACTGGACTGTATTGACTCGGATTTAGGAGTCTGTGCACGCACCGGTTACGCGAAGAGTTCGAATTTTTTGTCCCGAGGCCATTTCCAACCAGAATGTTTTACCGCAGGAGCAAACAGAGCCAGCAGGGCCGGGGGCTGGTATGGAACAAACAGTGTTTACAAAACATGACACGAGTACAAAAAGTAGAACTGAAAAACGGAAAGACGTAGTTGCTGAAGCCGCAAAATTGGCCAATACCAGCAACGAGTCTCGTAGCGCAATGCAACCTGATGATATCATCGGAATAGCGGAATTGGCCAAAATCAGTGGCGAGTTTAGCGGTCCAATGGCAGTCGACGATTTGGACATCGCCGAAAAATTGTCTGTTATCAGCATGACAGAGGAAGATCAAAGGCAGGTTCTGGAGGAGCTTGAAAACTTATAAAGAACTTAATTTTCCTCTTAAGTAGAGAAGATAAAGAGGATTAGATTCGCCTTAAGTACCGAGGGTACTAGTGACTTAAACTTCCCGGAACTTTTGAAACTATACAACTTTGACTCATATTGAATCAAGTAAACTATTAAGTAAATGAAATTGTTGTCAAATTGACGAAGGGGGAGAGTAGTGGAGACTATGTATGACCTATTTACTTTATGTTATTAAGTATTCATTTAGTAGGGCCAAGGCCAAGGTCATTGTCATAGTTAGCATTATCATTAGATATCACCAGAGAAGCTGATGTTGAGTTAAATTCAAGTTGATTCTCTTACGTTTTACCTAAAATTGTAACGTCAAGGTTACTTTCTCAAGGTCATTTGCCAAAAGATTCACATAAGAAAAATTTCTAATGAAGTTTAGTTCATTGGGTTTTTTCGGATTTCTTTTGGGTGGTTCAAACAAGTGTGGAAATCCGGTTTTATCAACCACAAAAAAATGCCCGCCTCGCTCAAGCTTTAGGTTTGTCTCTGAAAAAACGAGTCTGTTTTCAAGGCCTGCTAACCGACAATAAGTTGAGTGGTTTCGATTCATTCGTGTAGTCGGTGAGTTTGAACATGTATTCATCAGGTGACATTCTTCTGTTGAGGAACCCATTCCTCATGTATTGTGCTACTTGACCAGTGCAACAAATTTCTGAAAAATCACGAGATGCCATTGTTAGACTAACAATAATTCCTCAACATGGTTTTGGTTTTTTTGAAGTAGTTCTAAGTTTTGTTCCGATTTTTGGGGGTAATTACTCTAAGTTTTTGTCATTATATAAAAATGCGAAAAGATTTTTGAAGGTTTCCATTCCAGTATCACTCTACATTTGTACTCTTCGTTTTAAGTTTTCAATAAAACTTTTACCGGGATTTTTGGAGTCAATAAAGTTAATAGGGCGCCAGTTTTCCCAGGCGAGTGTTTCGAACCACCTGACACACGTTCTGGCGTCGCCACCTGGATGATTATCCATGAAATGGTTAGAATTTATGAGCGGAGCGATGTATCCTTCTAGACAGTAGTAATCACTAAAAGCAAAAAATACCTACAGAAAGAACCACAATCAACCTGACCTCCCCTTCTCTAAAACATATCAAGAAGTCACACTAGATCCATTATTCAATTTTAGTTGATGTCTCCACTCGGCTCTGCGTGTCAATTACTCGATTCTCGTTGCGTTGACCAAATATCCAAAAAAAATGCCATCTTTAACACCCACCTTCCCCTCTCCCAGTCATTTTGATGGTGGAGGATAATTTGACCCACGAACTTTTAAAAACAGTATTTGCCAGCGAAAAACACTTCTAACTTTTTCTGCATTCAAAACTAGGTCGTTTAATCTCAACTTTGAACAAGTCCTTGTATTTTGAATATTCCTTTCAAAAATATATGTCTCTTTTTTTGCTGAAAAAAAAATAATGCTTCGAAATGCTGTTTTTTTCACGTTTTTTGAGCAGAATTTTTTCAATCGATTGTATTTTAATGAGATGCTAAGCGCAAAAACTTTTTTTTCTGCGAACAACTTACCTGCGCTTTCTGCATGTATCTCCGTATTTGCCTACTCCATTGGCTAGCCAAAAGACCAGGGACTCCCAGTTGGCTGCAGGGGCGCGTGGCTGCCATGTATGGCTACCAGGATGGGTTGCAAATGCCAGTCTTGTCACTTGTGAAACAAAGTAACAATGATTTTGTTATTCAATTTGGCCTCTGTTCGAGCTTCTTTTTTTTCCAAAGATTATTCTTTTAAATCTTTTAATCGCTTTTTCGTTTCTGCTATAGTTATTGTTCTTGACGCTCAAAAAATAAAAATAAATAATTAACATTCATATTTAAATGTGTGATTGTTTTTTTCCAGATTATATCAAACTTACGCACCTAGACAAAATAAGATCCATAAGATCCATGACAAAAAATTTGATAATGGTTGCATAATTGGAGTTGCTATGATGTTTACGTAAAATCAAGCCAGGAAATACCAAATTAAGTGCAATTCTCACAGCTCAAGTTAACCAATCAATTCCAACCTTGACGTACAAATAATGATGTGAACATAGAGCGAACTTTGAATCTGAAGATGATGATCTAAATATCTCAACAATTTTGGTATAGTTTTTCTGTCATTTAAACTATCTTTTGTGATCATGTCGGTGATGATGGCGATGATGGTACGATGGTAATGTCAATTTTACGATGTTACGATATTTCTCAAATCTTAAACAGAGAAAACTAAGAGAAATTTTCCAGACAACTTAAGAGGCAAGCATTCTGAGCAGAAAAGTTTAGTCATTGTATTCTCAAACCATCCTCCTAGTCTCGGAAATTTTCAACAGGGATTCCCTTAATCCTCGTTACCCTAAAATATTACTTTTTGGTCCCGACATTGTGTGTTTTGACCACTGAGTTGGTTATAAACTTTATGCTGTGATGTGTGTTTTATATATATTTTTTTGCTTTTTGCCTTTTTTCAAATTTGTTCTTCGCCAAAGCGGAACTGACTAAGTAATGTATTTCAATGCTCACCTAATTCTTCTGAGTTTTATGGGCTTTATCCGGACAAAACGCATAAAACGGGAAGTTTCAAACGCGTTTTTCTCAAATTGGTAAAACAACAAATATGTATCTAATTCAGACAATTTTTTAAGCCGCAGCATTTTAATTTCGTTATCTATCCAGAAATTTTGTGTTTAAATCTTGTTTTGTTTTCGATAAATTGGAATAAAGTGAGTAAAAGTTTCTTCAAAATTTTCGCAGCTGTTGAGAAGCGTTTTCAATTTTTTTATCAAAATTCACCAGAATTTTGTTGTTCGGTCACGAATAGCATCTTTAATTTGCTGAATAGCTAATAGACTTTTGAGATTCAGTCATTTTCTCGACGTTAATAGTTCTTCGCATTCTTTCTCATTTCCTCCACCAAACGTCAGTTTAACAGCGTAATAATATTTTAAAGTTATAGATATTTTTTGGAAATTTTTTAAATTTTAGAGTTTTTATGATATCCGTCAGGGCTGCTATGAAAAAAACTCA